TTATAAATAAATACATAAATAAATACATAAATAACACTTCTTGACCTCACGGTACCGCCTTGAGTTGATGTCCCAGGCAAACAACGCACAGTGTTAGGCGGAGGTAGCCTGGGCCCAGCAGCGGAGGTACCGCAGCGGCAGCGCCCGAACCCGGCGGCCCCATCCCGTCCCCCCCACCCCGTCGCCGCAGCGCAGCCGGTGCCGTACCGCCCGCCCGCCCGCCCCCCGAGCCGCCACGGCGGCTGAGCAACGCACTTGCAGCCAGCCGGGACTCGCTCAGCCTGTCAGGTCGCGCCGCCGCCGGCCACCGGCGATTCCCTCTGGCCTTTCCCGCAGCCCCGGCCAAGCTGGCCCGGCGGCTGCTGATTTACCGTGGCATCCCAAAGCCAAGAGCTGGAGGCCGAGGGCACTGCTTCGCGCTTTTAAAGGAGAGGCTGCGGCGTACAGCACACGGCGGACAGCCCAGGGCATACCGCATACCTGCCGCTGGGGCGTGTCGCTGCCGATGAGGTCCCGCCGCTCCCTGCCCTGCTGCCGCACAGGGAGCCGGGCTGCTGGTGCCGCGGAGCGGCCCGTTCGTCACACACACTCCGCCGCTACCGGTCCCGCTCCCTGTCCCGGTCCCCCTCGCTCCCGGCCGGCGCGGCTCCTCGGCGGGCAGGTCCGCGGGCTCCGGCGGCCTCCGGCAGCCCGTCCCAGCCCCGGGGGCAGGGCTGGGCGCACAGAGCGTCTGTCACCTTCTGCTTCACATCTCCGCGAGTGCGGGCTCCCCACGGGGCATACACTCTCTGAAGTATGCCGCCGTAATGCCGCCTCCAGGTTTATTAACCTGGGCTTCTGCACCAGGAGGAAAAAAGGTAACGCTTACGTTATCCTTAGTTGTGCCCCCTCTGTAATAAACATCCCTTTTCGGGTCACAGAACTGTAGTTACAAAGGGCAGCCAGCGGCACAGTGAGCGAAGTGGAATGACTGACATGCTTGAGTCATTGCACTTACATGCACTTAAGGGATTAAAGTTATTAACTGGACTTCAAGGAAACGGTCTCCTGTCCTGGGTCTCGGCCAATTTCACCGCACCATGGACACGGTCCCCTCGGTGTTGCTGCCCGGCGGGGGCAGTGCCCGGGGTAAAGCCCGGGTTACGGTAGCTGCGCCCGGTCACCAGCTGCCCAGTTAGTGCTGCAGGAACCCGTGAGAGCGCTGGTGTGAGAGGAAGAGGGGAAATAAGGACAAGGCTAAACCAAAAAGAGTGGGTATTTTAAGCTGTAGAGAGAGGCATAGCAGGCAGCAAGGATGCTTTCTGTCTGCCGTAAGGAGGGTGGATGGTCCCTGCGTGCCACCAGGGACGAGCACTGGGTACTCCACAGAAAAATACACTTCGGGGCTCCTGCGTTTTACATCGCAGCAAAGCAAACCAAATTATTTTATACGTCACAAATATGAAGGATGTGGAACACAAATCTTCATATTACCGAATCGCATGGGACCACCTGAACCTCCTTCCTGGCTGGGGAAGCTCCCCTGACAGATAATGGCGAGGAAACGCCGGGCAGGGGGAAGAGGGAGGGAGCTGCCGCCTACAGCACCCATGGTGCTCCGCGCCCCACCCAGCCCGGCGGCGGTGAGTCCCCGCGCGTGGCATGCTGGGACTTGTAGTTTTGATCTAAGCAGCCCTGTTCCAGCGAGGAACCTCCTATAGCCGCTTCCCTGGCGGGGGCGGGTTTGAAAAGCGGAGCGCTAATTGGCTGTTGGAAGCGTCAATCCTAGCCGGCCCCGTTGCCCTGACAACGGCGCGGCGGCAGGGACGCTTTGGGGCCGCGGTGGCGGTGCCGCAGGTAGGAAGCGGCCCCGCGGCGCTGGTGGGAGCGGGTGAAAAATGAGAGGCCCGAGGACACGGGCAGCAGCTGGCAGGGAATCACCGCTGGGCCGAGCAGAGGCTGAGGCGCGGAGCCCGCAGCCTGCTCCGTGCGATCGAGGCTGCTTCAGCCGCCCGCGTTCACCGCGCAACCGGCCATCGGGCTCCGCGCCTTCCTCTGCCCCTCGGCCTGCGGGAGGGGAAGGGCTCCCGGCAGGCCCTCGGGGTGGCTGTGGCACAGGCTGGAGGGTGCTGGTGAGGAGAGGCGGGCGGTTGCAAAGACTCCCCGACCCCTGTGCTGCTGCACATGACAGTCAAATTCACACGCACCAGTCCAGTCCCCAGTACGTGCTTGTTCTCCAGCAACCTACTGCCTCACACCAGAGGTTCTGTCTGGGCCAGTAAGGGCCTGGGCAAGATTATAATAATGCCATACTTCCATTTTCACAGCCTTTTTTTCCCTTGTATTTATGGCTTCATTTCAATAGCCAGAGGTGTCATCACTGTTTTATCATCTGTCAATTTACCCTGTTTGAAATCGTGTCCTTTTGGCTGCTATCCTGTCCAAGGGCAGTATGCTCCATAATTCAACTATCTATTGTGCAATGAAACACTTCTGTACTCCTTTTGTTTGTTTTCAGTCTGTCCCTTGGTAAGCTCATGTGATGCCAGCTAGATCTTGTATTACAAAAGACGGTGAATAATCACCCCCTGCTCACTTTCTCCATGCCTCTCATGATTTTATTGACTTCTATCATAGCCTCTTTAGTCCAGGCTACAAAGAATTCTAGTTTATTCCCAGTATAAAACATATCTTCAATATTCCATGTTATACCCTTTCAATTCTGTTTCTTATTTCATGAGAGAAACATAACACAGTATTATCCAATGTTTTAATGAAGTTCTCAATTTTGCTGTCTATGCCTTTCTTATTAATTCTTAACCTAATTTTACATGCGTTGTACTTATCATCCCAGAGCCTGTAACTACCTCTACTGGTTTCTATCCAATAACAAAACCTACACCTCGTTCAAGTAGGCCTAATTTTATGAGAAGTGGTATATGTGAAATCCTGTACATTCAAATACAGCCATTCATATGCTGAAATGATTTGGCAGTTGCAAAACTTCAGCTTTACTCTCTAAATCTTACACAATGAAGATGTGTCCAAATATGCACAAGCATTATTAATACCACAAACTTTAGGTATGTGTATTATTTGGTCTTTGTGTAGAGCAAAGTAGAATAAATGTAATTAAAGGGAACACTGTATATGAACTTCTGGAGAGACTACATCATTCTCAAGACACTACTTTTAACAAGTTCCTAAATGTTTACAGACAGAAATGTGATTTTTAGCTTGACAGTGACACAACAACAAAAAGCAAGTAGCATGTGGTTTTGATAATTTCCTTCTAGTGCTTTTGTTAAATAGAAGGGCTTTCAATTCTTCTGTCATTGCAAATTGTAGTAAATTGCAGTGCTAAATTAGTAATGGACACAGGCTTGACCTTCAACCATTCAATTAGGCAACTAATGAATCATTCTGCGTCCTCACTTCAAACAGTATCTTTTGTGGCACTGAGAGCTAATTCACTTTCCCCTGGTGCAGTGCCTAGCAACTTCACGCCTTTGGTTTATAACTGTAAATGTTTCAGTACACTAAATGTTTAGGAGAACACTCTGAGCTTATTTTTTCTCTTGAGACTAATGTTGAAAATATTACAGGCATCTATAAATAAACTAGGCTACAGAATGTCAAAGTTGTCAAACATTTACTTGGGCTTTAACAATTAAATAATGTAACACTGTGTTCCACTGAAAACTGACTGAAAAATGAGACTGAACATATTTAATTGAATTTTTGTATCCACAGAATCAGAGAATGGTTTGGGTTAAAAGCCCAAACTTAAAGCTCATCCAGTTCCAACTCCCCTGCCATGGGCAGAGACACCTTCAACTAAACCAGGTGGCTTGAAGCCCCGTCCAGCCTGACCTTGACTTTTAAAAAGCTCTATAGCAACTGATTTTCAAGAGCTGGTGTGTTGCTTTTTTTTGGGGGGGGGTCTTTTTTGTTTGTTAGTTTTGTTTTGTTGAGGGGTTTTCTTTTTTTGGTTGGTTGGTTTGGGTTGGGTTTTGGTGTTTGGTTTTTTTTTGTAGGTTTTGTACTAATGAATTTTTCAAATTATGCTAATTTAAATGTAATTTCCAACCTTTGTTCTCAATCGTAGAATTATGAATTTATGTAAGCATTTATGGAAAAGCATAACACAATTGCACAATTCTGGACAAACGTGTGTTAGAGTCCTTTCTAAATAAGTGGTAGAGAAATATCCCTAAGAGGATAGGAACTAACCACAGATTAAAGAAATTATCTTTTTGTCATATCTTCAGACAGTCCTCTAATACAGACACCATTTTTTTCATGGTTTTCTTGGTAGGATTTGGTACTTTGTGTAAAAACTTAGGGAGTGAAAAAATACCAAACCCCTGAAGCAAGAGGTAACTTCTGAAAATAACAGCTTTTATCTTACACATTGAGAACCATTAGGATTTTTGTTCCTTTATTTCTGTTTTGAAGAGGAGGAGTGCAAAAGATTGCTTTTCAAGAGCTATTTACAGTTCTCAGTACATGCGGGTTTTCTGCAGTGAGCACCTGGGGGTTAATAGGGTTTTTAATCCTGTATAAAAACCCAGCTTTGCATATATACTTTGTGAACAGCTATGGACTTATTAATGCTTCCAGAGAAGTCTTAGAAGTTCTGCCTTTGCTTTCTTTGAGGGCCTTACATGTTTCCTAACCACTGACAATCATATGCCCACAGAATGACAAATGGACAGAGGCGATATGGTGTTAGGGGTATTGTAAAAGGAGATAATTAGCTTGTACTTTTCTATCTGCTTTCCAGTTGGTGAGGTTCTGTGTATCACAGATGGAACCATGAACAGTCCTACCAGTTGCTCTGTTCATCTGCAATTCTTAAACATCGATACTTTTTGTATTAACATATGCATAGAGTCACCAGTACTGCCCTTAGCTGCATAGTGCTGTGTGTGCCTCTACACCTGATTCTTTCAGTAAAGGAGGAGCAACTGCATTACTGGGAGACAATTTTCAAACGTTTTAACTGTTTTTATAGGTACAAGATACTTGAAGTCAGTTGAAGGAAAAGGGATGTTTTTACTTGCAAATTATTGTACTAAACATAGGCATGTGACTTATCTCAGCCCTTTGTGTTTCCTCTATTCATGTGACTTATGGTTTAGGTTACTCAGAAGAAAAAACTCAACATTTCCAAATTGGCTTTGTTTCAGTGTATAATTAGGAAATGGTGAAATAAACCAATGTGACTGTAGCATATACAAGATGGTTTATACTGTTCTTCAACTGATTTGTAGGACAGCTGGCCTCTCCTCTTGTCCTGGAGGACTGTATTTTCTCTTTTATCCAGAGGTGTGAAGGTTGATTTCAAATTAGTCATAGAATCAATTTATAAAATGGGTCACAATATTTTTTACATAACATGTACAAAGAGATGGATAAGAAAGAGCGTTGCACTTTTATTGTTAAATAAGGGAAAATTAGCCTATTTTAACCATCTGAATTGACATGCACTCTAAGTAGCCCTAAGTGTTTCAGTACTATAAACTATGCATATTTTTCAGTGTAGAGGCTTCTTTGAAAGATTATATCTGGGAAAATATATTGAATATTAAACATAAATATATTGCCAATGTTTGTAGTTTTGTACCTGACAAAAAGACTGGGAGAACGAGGGCAGAAAAGACTCCTAACTTTCTTCTTTACACTCACTATACATAACTTGTGAGGGCTTTTTAATCTTCCAAAAACATCATCCCTTACAAGGCAAGAATTTCATAATTCTGAAACATTAATCTGTTTGGCATTGGTATTATCATTACGGTATTATCATTACATTATCATTATCATTTTGGAAAAAGTGTAAGATTAAATTGCTAGTTTTTCAGAGGGATTAATGAAGGGGCTGTATTTGCAATAATGAGTGAATAACAGAGAAATGCAGTAATATTCCATAAATGCAGCTTGTCACCTGCAGTCTGCATGATTCAGAACAATAAAGAGTCTGAGGCTTTATATTTTTCTATTTTGATTGGAGTGAAAAGGAAAAATGCATTACTGTAATAAGACTGTCAGACTCTGCTCCCATTAAAGTTAACAGCAAAATTTACCTTGAATTCTTGGGAAGTTAACACAGATCCCAAAGACAGGCTATAATCCATGACCTTTATCTGCCATCAATGGTCATCTTCAAACTAAAATTCAGATTGGAAGCTAAAATTATATTGATTGCCTCTGGAGTATTTGAGAACTGTGTTACAAAACAGAAAATGCTGTTTCTCAGTCTGGGAATGACCATCCCAAAGCCATGATGACCACTGAAATTGCAAATTCACAGGCCATAGCGTGTTTGTTTTAATGTCTACAGTGGTTTAGGCCTTTCATCGGGAAGGTCTTAAGATAGAACACTTATTTTATAAACTCACCATTGCATCTTAAAGCATCCTGACAGTAAATGTGCTGTTCACATGTGTAGGCAGACAGGCCATAGCTCCAGTAAGGGTTCATCAGAAATAGGTATGTCATGAGAAAGTTCTTGATGGTGCAGCCTTTTTCTGCCTTATAAGTGTATCTGCTTTCCTCTTGTAAGTGTTAAAATTAGAATAGCATCCAAATACTGTAAGTGCTTTGTAGACATTTAAAAAATAGTTCCTCTCCCAATCCATTTACAGTCTTAAAAAACAGTGGGAACATGGAAAACAGAGGACATGAACAACCTGAAAGTCCCATTGTCCTTATCTCTGTTGAATCCCAGCCTCCAGCTGTTCGGTAACAACATCAAACAATTCTTAATGCTTCTAACAGAATCTGGACTACCTCGACTTTGTTCTATCGGCTGCTGTGTGTGTACCTTCCACATGATGGTGCTGGCAGTGTATTTTGTGGAGATGTGCTGTCCTGTCTGTACTGTGAGCAGCCTGTATTGCATGTCCTCCTTTGCAAGGGGTGTGAGCCTTTTTACATTGCTGTTCTCATCCTTATTCTAGTTATCAGGAAGAAGGAGAGTAAATGAGACAAGAGTACAGAGCATTATTTCCAGCTGTGTGGTTGCTACATGCTACAATAATGCATACGGCTTCTTTCCAAGTTTCACCTCCCCAGAGCCACACTGAAAAATTAACTTGGAATAGAAAAGTTTTGGATAATCGGTGTCCATACTTAATCACCCTGGAAAGGAGCAGTATTTCCATCTATTACATGTATCAGAATACAGTTTATGGTTTACAGTTGTGGAACATACCTTTGGCTGTATATGAACTTATTACTATAATGATAAACTACATAAAAGCATGGGCAAAATTCTCACTCATGCATGGTGCATTCCACTGTCTGTTCAGAGTTTGTTGATGATACGTATCTTTCTCTAGAGAAATCTGAAAGATGTCACCAGCAAAGACAAAGAAACAGAAAGGTGTAAGCAAAGCTAAGAAATCCCCGAAGGGAAAAGATCCTGGTATGTAAGGTACAGAAGCAATGAAACAAACAGTAATAGAGTCTCACATAAGAGCTACCTTTATTATTTTGGGCCATTGTATATAAGTAAACATGAGATAAATTAGAATATGTTATTTTATATGAATGAGAGATCTACAATTAATGATTATGGTTCTGTAACCTGTATATGGAACATAACAAAGCTACATTGCAATATTTACACTTTGTCTTGGTAGTTTAGATGTAATAATTTGTGGTGTCATAATAACAGTATTGAATGGGAAATTGGGAGGCTTAATACATGTTAAGTGGGGAGATTCACAAAAGCTAACAACCCAGGGAGAGAGCATCAGGCAGAAAGAAGTGTCCCCAGAAGCAGGAGTTCAGGTGCTCAGGATCACACTGTACAGGTACAATAACAGAGCTTGAAAAGAACACTAAAGTCTCACAATTTAATTTCACAGTGCCTTTTATTCTGTTTTTTTCCTGAGATGTGCTGAGGTGCTATCTCACTTGTGCCACTTACAAAGTGTATATATTAATGAAGTGTAAGGCTAATGAGCCTTTGCTATATTTTTTTCCAGTGGCACGCACATTCTCAGAACAGGTGGTGATGTTCTCTTGCTTGGGTTTTATTTGGTTTGTTTCATCAATTCTTTTTCTGCTGTGACAGCCACCTTCCTGAAGTTGCTTTTTGCCTTTTAATCACTTTTCCCCTCCCAGCTGATTAATAGCTGCTGTGCTGCAGAGAATATTCTGCACATCACTGTTAATTTCTTCCAGTCCTAATTTGCTGTGAGGTTTGCAGACCCTTTCTCAGGAGCTGAAGAAAGCCTTGCTCCAGCAGCATCCTGCTACCCAGAGCAAGCCTCCCCACCTCACCACTGTCAGAGGGTACTCATGTCCACTCCTGCCTGCACACCTCTCAGTTCTGCTACTGTCTGATGTTAGCAAGCCTTGCCCATTTATCTCCTCTTCACATAGTAGCTGCCCAAAGCAGGTACTATCAGGCAGCGGTCAGTGTGGTTTTCAACCATGAAAACTGCAGCACCACAAGATGACAGATTTCTTTTGATTTCTGTCTTAGGCAGACCGCCTGCTCAAAATAAAAATTAGTTTTAAATCTCCATAGTTTCAGAATATGCCAACATCTCCTTAAAATACAGACCTATTTTGAAAGGCTTCACTCATTTCTTGTGTTAAACATGAACTGAATAGAAATTACTGTTTCCTCTTCACGGTTTACTTTTAAACATACATAGAGTTTTTAAATATTGCCTAACAAGAAAAGGACTGTATATTTATACTTAACTTTGTTAGGAAGAAATCTTACTGGTAATGTCATGTCTTATATTTCAGATGAAAAAGATGAAGTTGATCTTTCTATGGCTAGTATAGGTAAGTGCTATGATGACCGGACTTTCAAGTAACAGTTTTGGAACTCTTCAGCATTTTGAAGCTTCAGTGTTACTAAAGCCAGGGAATGAAATTGAAAGATTTTTTATGAATTATAAAATTTAGAAACTATGAAGAATTGCAGCTATTACAGTAGATATTACAGTACCACTTTCTGAGTAGCAGGCAGTGCAGCAAGGAATGCAGAAACAGGTATGGGTTTGTAGAAGATGTTTTTACCTTGGTTTGAGAGTATCTGGAACCAGGGGAAATAGAAAAGCATCACAACAGAATTATAGGATGCAAAATGTTCACATTTAGTAATAGTCAAGCAATTGAAAGAAAGGCTTGAAATATTTTTATAGTTTCAAAATCTTTCATCTTCATCAAATCATGACTGAATTTGGTGAGAAGATTATTTTGGCATATCACTTGTGGGTTTTAATCATAGATGTCAACAGACATTAAGTAACATTTTTGCTTTGTAGGGGAAAAAATCTGCCATTTAAAAGTCGCAGAGATATCAAGTATTTTTTGCACTTCCTACATGAGTAAACAGGTACACACATGTGGGTATGAAAATTGCACTTGGATTAGTGTCACCGAAATGGCTAAGCTGCAGCTAATGAAAATGCATAATAAATGATCCCTCATGTGTCAAAAGTGTTACCTTAAAAATAAATTGAAATTTGTATTTTCGGTGCTCCTGGAGAGAGACTTTTTGTCAGTAAGAGAGAATTTTACCTCCACCTAGTGGCAAGTAAGGTTATAGCTGTAATAGTTGAACTACTGCTAAAATCTTGTTGCCAAAAGCAGGAAAATAATGCTACTGTAAGCAGTCACTGTCTGTGCATGGTATCTCCTTAGCATAAGATTGGCAAGCGTTCTTTACTTCTCTGAGAGCTTCTTGGTCCTTTGTGAAGTTCTCATAGCACTAAGAGCTGCTGACTGTTACAAAAGATAGGATACGATATACCATCAGAAAAACAATGTGAAGCCTTTGGTTAGATGCTACATAAGTTTTTGGGGAAAAGAGCATTCACTAAAAATGTTCATAATAGTAAGAATTCCAGTATCAATCCCTTGCGTTAGGCTAAAAGATGTACGTATTTTAATTTGGATCATTAATCTCTTTTTAATCTGGACTTCCAGCAATAGAGCATTGAAGAAAATAGACTTTCTGTCCTAATCGTCTCCCTCTCATAGTCATGTCTATTGTATTTCTGCTTAACTTTAAAGCATGCTTGTATTGTTTTATTTTACACTGAAACCTACATCTCTTTGAGAAGACAGGGTTTTTAGCATTAGCATTTGTGGAAAGGCTGTATGCACAATTCATTTTAAAAAATAACGTATGAGCTTCTTGAATAAACTCCTGGGTAGGATTTTTTATGAATTAAAAAAAACCCTCTAATTGCTTGGTTTTATTTTATTTGAGACTATTAGGAATAATTTTCTAAAAAAAAAAAAAAAAGTCACCTAAGAATCAGCTAATTATATTTATAAATTTTCTGTAGCTTCTAGCTACAGCCAGCAGCCACATCACCAACTCTGAGCACTGTGATACATACAAATACCTTGTTCCTTTGCTCTCCTGGCTGTTGTGCCCTGTGAGCCAGCTGTGTACAGAGAGGATGGAAATGACATTCTCTTTTGGTGCGCAGCCCTAGGTTTCTGTCCTCTGTCCATCATATGAAATTTAATTTGCAAAAGGAAGTCTGCTTTTTTTGCTCCAATATATTGAAATGTAGAGTGTATCTTAGTGTTGCAGTTCATGCTACGGGTTGAGTCTGCTTCCTAACAACATCCTAATGAGGCCTAATGAGTTAACTAGTGGACTGTGCATGCTATAAATGGAGTGTGTATGCTACAAAATTACTAGTGAATGCTAAGTAAATAATATTTTGTATAGTGCAGCATGTACCAGAAGCATCAAGCATGCCATTAATTTTAGTGGATGACTATAGCAAAGCAGATGCAGTAGAGAAGCAGTATTGAAAAATTGTAAAGGATAAATGTCAGCTTCATCAAACATTATGTATTATGTGATAGCCTTATGCAGAGATTTAACTTCCTGAATGACAGAGTTTAAGGAGAATTTACTGTTTTATCAGTCCTTTTTGGCTTGGGTTAGAAATGGCTTTTCAAAACATGCTGAGCCAGCTGGTCAATATCATCATCTTAGATATATCAACTTCAATTTAAGGCATACACAAAGATAAAAATACCACAGGTGCTGGGAATTAAGATAAAATATTAAATAACTCAAGCTAAGAGAATGAAACAAAGGTTATAGAAAGTATCAGTTATTATTACAAAATCCAGCCCATTTGAGGACATAAAGATCCCATGTACTCATGTCCATAAATCTTTTACATTTCCCAGTTTATCAAAAAGGTGAACATCTGATAGCCTTCTCAGACAAAATACTGTGGCCTTCATGAAGAACGCTCTTACTATGGCAGCTAAGACAGAGCATGACTGCTAGCATGGCAGTATTGTGAAGGAAGAAGAGTCTCTTGGGCAGCAGAATTCAACTAGCTGGGCCTATAGTGATCTTAAACACAGCTGTTACACAAACTGGAGGGCAAAACATGTAATGTGGGAAGAATCAGTGCTACATAATTACAGCTGACACACTTAACAAGAGGCACTGGTTATTATCTTCAGACTGAATTTTTGCGAAGCGCAGCTGACAGGTAACCTAACTGCATCCAGCCTCACTAGAACCAATGAAGATAACACTGCCAGGGGTAGGATAAGAAATAGCTTGTTCTGGATTAGTACAAATGAACCTAATGGAGGTCATGTATGCAGAAAACAACAGCTATATATTCTCCAGCAACGGTGAAAATAAGTATCTGACTTGAATCTTAGTGACCTCGCTTTACTCTCACTTGCTTAGTGCAAAAAAGACTCAGCTGCACTGAGAACTCAGTGAGAGGAAGATGAAAGTCCAAAATCAGAAAAACATCTTTATTTGGGAGGGCATCGAAGTCTCACCTAGCTCAAACATTGGCTTAACATGACAACATTCTACAGCAAAGGGTTAGAGTGTATTTGTTCATGGGCTCTCTTTATGGCAGTTGTGTCCTTAATGTATTAAAAACACTTTATTTAATGACTCTTCACTGAAGTTCTTAATGACCTGTTAATTAAGAGGAAAAAAAACCCCTTATATTAGGAATAACGTATTCATTAAGTAGGAATTGTTAGGTAGAATCTTTTCCAAGATTAACAACATGTAATACAATTTTTACCCTATGCCTTCCAAAATACCAAAACTTAAGGTGAGAGATTCAAAGGCATTCTGCTAGGAAACAGTAAAGGAAGAGTTATTAAAGTGCATGTTTCAAGGAATTTTGCTTTCTTTTACAGGCCACCCAGAAATCTTTCCTTTAGTTCTCACTACACAGACCCAAGCAATTTTCAATTGCCGAGTTGATGAAGATGTCACAGAAGAAAATTGTTTCAAAATCATTAAAAAAGAGGACATCATTCAGGACCTGAAAAGAAGAGCTAAAATTTCTGATTTTTACCCTATCAAAAATGTTATCCTGGTATGTAGGTTATTTTGTTCACACTTGAAGACTCCATGCTCTCACAGTGTATGATAAGGTTTGACCCTATTTGACTCCGTGTAAAAACACTAATGGTGTAATATCCAAAGGCTATAGGTCTTTGACTACTGTCAGCTCAAAGTTTCTCATGGCTCACCATGCACAGTTTTGTTTGTTGTTTTTTTTTTTTTTTTAACTAACTCTAGATTTTATATATGCTAAAAGTAACATAAATCTTATTAGTTTTGATTCTCTGAACTGGCAGAGCTTCACATATTTTGGCCTCGCCTTACTCGTTGCCTATTTATTGAGAAACATTAAAACAGTTTCTTTTCAATTCTTGATATGAAAAGGTTAGTTTTGTCCCAAAATAATTATTAGAAAATAAAATCCACCTATTCTTTTCAATTGGCACATGTAATCCTCTGTTAAGACTTAAAAGATTAACCAAAGACACCTACTTTACACTACTGGTAGCTTTGCCAGTCACACACTCATGTCTGTTTTATATGTTATTTGACTTCAGTGTTCCCCTCATTGTTTTAATTAAACTAGGAATATCCAGGAGAAGAACTTTTGGTAGTTTTAGATGCAAATTTCCAGTATGGACAGAACTTTTACCTCGTTGCTTCTGAGGAAGCCAAGGAAAACCTTCTGAAGGTAAGAAAATACAAGCATCATTCTTTCTATGAGTAGTTCAGAATCTTGTCTAAAATATAAACTGATACTGTATTTGTAAGCATCTGATGTGGTTGGCATGCCAGAATGTTCCTCTAAAGGTTAATCTGATCAAAGAAAAATATGTGTATCACTGTAAAAAATGTCTTTTATATTGAGAAAGACTGAATTACATTTTTGTATTTTACTTCAGAGTAAATTACTCTAACCCCCACTGCTGCATTTTGTCATAAGCATAAATTTCCTCTGCCAAGACCCAGGTTTCTTAGCAAAACATAAAAAGAAAAGATTATATTTGGCATCTTCAAAGAATTATTCTTCACAATATGTATGTATGTATGTATTCTATAAATCGTACTTCAACATGTTCTTGAGTTCTAAGTAATTCTAGATACATAGGTTTCCCCTTGTGCACTGCATTATAGGAGAAGGTTTATGGGTAGGTAGATTATAAAATTTTTCAACACGAGTTTGTAACTCAGTACCAGGAGAAGAAATGAGTGATAGAAAAGCAAATCGCAATTCCAGGCAGGAGGGCCTGATGTAGGAAACCACTACAAATTCTTTTTATGTAACAGTGGTTCAGCTTTCGAGACAGTGGTTTCTCTTTAGTTGTTAAATATTAAATATGTAACATGTATTGGAAAATTCTAATGCACAAATGAGTGAATGGGACCTAACCCAATCATACCCAGGGGCACAGAATAGCCAAACTTGCTGCATTAAGATAAAGAATGTGTGGCTAAAGACTGAAATCTGTTTTTCTAGTTCATACTTACATTTCAGTAACAGTTGTGAAAAAGTACCATTTCTCACTGTTTGATGTCACAGCCTCCAGAAACTGCAGAAGAAAAACAGGAAGAAAACAAAAAAGAAGAACAAAACACAGAGGAAACTCTAGAAATCCAACCGTACAGGCCTCCTGTCCAAAAACCTTGGGTTTCTCTTGGCAGTGAAAAGGAAGTTGAAGAAGAATCTGTTAAAGACACTGTTACAAAGGTCAGAATCCACAGATGTTAGTCAATCAAATGAATATTTTAAAAAGTATTTTACATTCCTTAAAAACCAGTCAGGGAAAGGGAAGTTGCAATCCCAGTTTTGCTTGGGACCTTTCAAGAAGAAAAAGAGAAATATCTCAACTTTCAACAAAAACTGAAAGTGCTGCAGTTGCAGATTTTTTTTTTTTTTTCTCTGAATTCTCTTCTATTTAAATCCTGCAAACAAGGCACGTGAAAATGCATTGGACATACCTACTTTTTAAGCTGTAAATTCAAAAGTCATGATAATCTCTGGTCAGTAACATCTCTGCCACTTTTTGCTCAAATTACTATCTGGCCAAATTACAAGTTCAGTCACTTCAATTATATTCTAAAGACCTAGTTCTATTTCCATGGAGCCCAGTGTACTCTTGTTCATGATATGGATGGTATTTAAGAGGCATGCAATACTTTCAAAGGCTCTACCTCAGAAAAAATGTTACTGACTACAGGTATTACAGGCTGACCTTACAGAAGGACATAGAATCATAGAATCGACCAGGTTGGAAAAGACCTTTAAGATCATCAAGTCCAACAGTTCCCCAGCACTGCCAAGGCCACCACTAACCCATGGCACTGAGGGCCTCACCTGCATTGTGTGTGAACACTTCCAGGGATGGTGACTCCATCACTGCCCTGAGCAGCCTGTTCCAACGCCTGAGCACCCTTTGGGGAAGGAATTGTCCCTAATACTTCATTAACTTCACCTACATGTTATACTGAGAAAACTATGTCCAAAAAGTAGATCCACTCAACAGCTGCCACCTAACTTGAGATGTGTGGGGTATCCCCAAGCATTTAACTGTCCATCTGTGTTTCTACTCAATACCTAAATCCCTGTTCAGGGAAAACTGGCCAAGTTTTGACAGTTCTCAGCAACTGGACATGTTGCCATTACTTCAAAAAGATGGCTGACTGTTCTACAGCTAATTCACAGTCATGAAATGCAACCCACATTCACAGCCCAAGTGTTTTTTTGTACCCTGCTGGCAAGGTCTACTCAGAAGTATTTTCAGCCTACATTCCTTTCCAGTTCCTTGGGAGGTACTGGGAGAAAAGTACCTGGCTATGTATCCAAGACAGAGTAACAACTTTCTACTGCCTGAAATCAAATGCCTACTTCTCTTTGTGAGTAGAAGTCAAATGAAATCCCTTCCTTCCTAGTTCTCTATAAGGAAACTCCTCACTCAGATTTTTGTGGATCCTTTTCATTGTACTTTTCTCTCCCTAAGCTGTACAAGGGAAGGTGAAATACCTCACCCAATGTTGAGAACCGCACTAAGAGGGCCGAGCTGAAAAGCCATGTCTTGGAAGTCCAATGCAGTATTACATAGAACTGCAAATCAATCCTTTAATTAAAGGAGCAATTTTGATATTATGTGAACTAGAAAATATAATTCCCTTATCCTACTAGCCAAAACATTACATAAAGGCAATGTCTTGTTTTAGAAATACAAACCAGTCTTTTACTACATATGTTATAGGTTATTTATATGAGCATTTCAGTTTCAAAATGTAGAAATGTAAGTAAACTCAGCACAAAAATCATCAATAGAACTAATTCCTCAATTATATAAATGCTGCCATTTTACAAAACACTTTTTCCTCTGCTAACTTACTGAAATACTTCTTTTCCAGATTAAGTATATGATTTCTCGAGTACGCAGGAAGTTCGGTGCACCAATTACATTTACTGATAAGAATGCTTCAGATGTAAAAGACAGTTATGTTGAATGCACATCCTATCAAGACAAAACTTTCAGTATTAAAATGCTTGTAAAAGATGTGGGCATACAAATGGTTCCAAAAGTAAGAGAAAGTAGTACTCAGACAAAATGGTAAGTGTGAGAAAATATTTATCAGCTTATTTATTAAGCTACACACTGTTTCTGATCTCAGTTAAAGTTATGTAAATTAAATCAGCTGTCCTGGAATTTCTCATACTGATAAAGAGAACAGAACTGGATGGTCTGTTTGCATCTTTCTTCTGTCACTTTTCCAAAGAGTTTCTAGAAAAAAATAATAGATTTAGCTTTTAATTTTACACATTACATGGGCTTCCGTCTTTGAAATTGTTTCTATACTTATTCACATTGAAATTATTCCAACTGGTTAGGACCTATCCAAAAAATGCAGCCACCCAGTATTTTCCCAGACAGTTGTCAGATGAAGAGAAAGAAGAGTGTCTGTCTTCTGAGAAGCTGAAAGAATTTCTTACGTCAGTACATTTAAGGTAAAATTAAAAGCAGTCTGGTCAGATAGATACTAATTGTTTCTATATACTTTTTTGGTTTGGCTTTGGTGGGGGGATATTTGTTTGGTTTGGTTTTCCTCTTGCTTACTTTTTAATATTAACAGATACTAAATTAATATTTGTTTCTATGAAAATTAACATGAAGTCTATGCACTATAGATGAATGATGGTTTAAATGGATATCAGAACTGTTAAAGCTGATAGTGTTACACCACTAAAGCTGCAAAGCAGATCTTTCAGACACAGCTCACTGAAGCAGAGGTGTATGCAGAAGAGCAAGGGTACTGTCCTAAAGCCCTTAGTCACGGGACAAATCCCACTTATCAGCATTTTTTGTGAAAGAATTTAACAACTGCACTGTACTTGATCCACACTAGAACTAGAGTTAAATTCATGTTACAAGTAGTTATTTATATTTAAATGGAGGAGGATTTCCTTCCAGTGATGCATCACTGAGCAATAAATACTTTCTCTTTTTTTACCACTGTGGTCATCATTTTGTGTAAAACAAAAGCTGGCTCTTTACAGAAATATTTGTGATTCTACTACTGAGCAGTCACATCCAGATTATTTGAAATGTTAACCGTTCTTTCCACAAAACAGAATGGAAATTGCACTGCAGCAAAATGAAATTATAAATCCTTTTTTTGATGACTGGAAGGCCCTAGCAGAAGTTGAAAGCAGTTCTGGTGTCAAGCCAGATATTTATCTTCAAGCGTACCAATCACTTACAGATCTGCGCTATCCCAAGGACAGAACTATTAGCTGTGTTTGCTGGCATCCAAACATCGATGGTAATGCAGTTAAAATACTGAATTGAGATTTGATTGACATGTATTGTGAGAACTATAAAATACGCATTTTTCATAAAACTATCAACTTTTAAATTTAACACCAAACCTGGTTCAGTATGTCTGTCTCAACTGCTCATTTGAGACAAAGTGGAAAATGAGGTGGACAAATTTGTAGAATTCAGACAGACCATGCAGAGTCCCTCACACTAAAATGTAAGCAGAGATCACAGGAAAGGGAAATTTCTCTCATATGAGGCTCAGTTAAGTGGGGCTCCAACTGTGCCAGGTCCTTCTTGTGGCTCTGCAAACTAATGTCTTTTTCCCCATGGCTGGTTCTTGTATGCATGCCTAATACTTCCTAGGAATGTTACAGCCATAATGGGACATGGCTCTGCTGAGTGCCAGGGAGTGTAACGAGGCATACTAAATGTCTCCTCCCTGCCATGGATTATTGCTCTACACAGCCAAGCTTAAAGGTACAATTAAGTTCTATAGAAATGTCTTAGCTGCACAGCATACTAACAGCCAATACTGCAGCCTGGCCAGAAAACAAATTCAGCTACAGAAGATTTCATTTCATGATGGGCACTAGAAGCCTGACCCATCATTTCAGGTGCAGTATTACCCCATTCAGCAGTAGTAGCAAAACCCTTGAATTTTACCATGAAGCTTAGGTTCTATGGCTCACTGATGAATAACTTAAAGCAACAAAACCAATTTCCTCAGAGTTGATCTGTAAAGAGAACAATATCAATACATGGCTGGGTTTGGGGGTCGGTTTTGGGTTTGTTTTTCACTGTATTCAGAAGGTACAAGTCACTCAGAATAATTAACAGCGTGTTGAAACTTGAATTGTCTCTTCTGAGAAAATTCGTTTTCTCACTCAGGGATCATAGCAGTGTCAGCAAGACAGAGGCTTTCTTACGAAGAACACATTAACCTTTCTGACAAGTCATTGCTGCAGCAACCAGCAATACTTTTCTGGAGTGTTTCTGACCCTATCCAGCCTCAGGTATTTCATCAGCACTTTTCCATAGGTCAGGTGTTGAAACAACAAGAGAAAAGCCATCTGAGTCATTTGTATTTCTCAACTATTTTGGTTTTCCTTCTAGCTACTGTTGGAGTGTCCTGAAGACATCTACTGCTTTCAGTTCAGTCCAAGCAACTCAAATATCATTGTGGGTGGCTGCAGCAATGGACAGGTTGGTGTTCATTCTCTGCTTTTGAATAAAACTGGCTATTCCTGTATATTTCCTTACATTATTAAAATAAGGGTGAAGACCTGTACTCAGCATCCCTAGTAACACTTAGTGACACAGTCTCAGGAATTCTCTGATCCTGCACTGAAGTTATGCCTGGATACTCCATAGCTGAGCCATTACTGTACAGTCATTCTTTGTAGTACTGGAACATAGGTCAAGCTGTAGAGACTCTCTTTTTTGTAGATTTTGAGATAAGTTTAGCCTTTTACTGATTACATCAGACTAAAGTGGCAACACTTTAAGGACTTTGCTATTTTAAAGACTTCCTAAGTTCTAGTGTAGAGAGTGAATTTTCCCCAAGCCTCCATGAACTGTATGTGAAAAATACGTTCAATATAAAGGATTGAATAATTCTTAATATACTCATTTGTCATTGCAGGTTATACTGTGGGATATTTCTGAACATGAAGAAAAGCTGCAAAATACAAAACCTGATGCTGATGGAAATGAGGTAATAGCTGTTAGTATTGTAAATGCTTCCATTCTCAATTGTAGTACATCTGTATGTCTGTGGGAGAAAATGTGTGACAGTACCCTGACTCAAACCAGTAGATAATCTTTGCAGTCAGGTACTAGAAATGATAAGAAACCTGATGAGTTCATTAAATAAACCCATTATCACACTATAATTTCTACCTCATTGGCCCATCTTAATAGCTTTACTGCATTTTGTGCAGATTTAAACTTCAGACTGTTCTTCAATGAGCACCAGCATATACTCAGCTGTTGCCTTATGAAGCCTATCAGAGACGTACAGCATTTGTTGCTGAATGTAATACTGAAAATTATTCTGGAAGTTTATGGACAGGAAAAAAGTAGCTCGGAAAATGAGAAGAAGATTTCAGTGGAAGAAGACTATAAAGGGAATAAGTGGAAGAGAGACCTGAAAGCAGAGGAGGAACTAATAACCTAAGTGGATGTGCATGTGCCTGTGGAGCCACTCTTCTTTTTAGAGCTTCCTATTCAAAGGCTTGTTTTGCTGCTTTGTGTTTTCTTTTGTCCAAGGGGAAAAGGTAGGAAGGTATTAGACACCTAGCAAATTGACTAAACTGATCTGAAACCTGTGAAGCAGCATTAACAGTACATAAAGTAACTTTTTGTCTTTGACAGGTCTACTACTGTATTTGGGAACACTAAGGTATCTCTTTTTTAAATACTTCTAGGCACCAGCTATGGCAGATCAGCAGAGCATCAGAGAGCCACCTCTAGTGAAACACTGTGCGGACTCTCCCATAGAGCATGCTCATAAAAAACCAGTAACAGATATAATTTGGCTGCTAAATTATTTTCAGGTGAGCTTAAAAATTTACTTTTCCTGTTTCCCTAGTATGCTGCCTCGGAAATTGTAGTGTAAACTCAAGATAAAATATTAAAGATTCAGTTATTTGTAACAGCCTTTTTTATTTCTCACTGCATTTTCTAAATATTTAGTAACCTATCGCCACTTGTCCTGTTCATTGTGCTTTACAGCCGTGCTGTGTTCTCAACCTGATACGAATCTTCTCATACTGGAAAAATTTCTGTGGCTTTACTGAAAGTTGTAATTCAAAGTTGTAATAAGCATTCCATATCTAAATTATGCTGAATTACTACTGCGAGCAATCTAGTCTGCCATGAAGGATTCAGAGAAATGTTTCAATTACCTAAATATCTAGGCACCTAAGAATGGTGTTATTGTAGTTACCTTAATTCTTCTAGGTGCTGCCTGTGTACTCAAAACTTAGGTTTTCCATGACGGTTTTAATACCTATAGTATTTAGGGTATATGTAGTTAAAGGGTCCAATGCTATTACAGGAGTATTGGATGCTCATTTACTACCAAAGTACTGTAAATGATTGCCCAAATTAATTCCAAATGCAAATGCAGGCAAATGCAAAATAATAGCAGTGGAAAAGCAGGCCAAGAGGAAGAAAACTGAGCTCTTTAACAGGTTTATGCAAATGAACGTATCAATATGTTTTTAAAACAAATTTTAAGACTTCATAGATACTGCAGTCCTTAGCAACATTACTAGAAGACTGAGGGAAAGGGTGCACATGTATCATAAAAAGAAAGCTGATACAATTGTTCATTATTAAATTATGCTACAGTAGTACCCATGGATACGAATCAGTACCAGATGTAAAACATGAAGAAAGGGATTGGATAGCAGAATGCCGTGTGGTTTTTGTTGCTTGGATGGGTTGTTTTTTTCTCCCTAGGTTTAGAGTCAGAAAGCTGTTTTCATGTCCATCTGGAACAAAAGATGCAGGAAGCTCCTGCTTGATAAATAATACTGACAAAGGAATCACTTTGTTAATATTTAGCAACATGTACTTGAACATTTTGTTATATAAACATGGAATGTGTGTCAGCCTTTGCACAGCATTGCAGTTTTTATGGCATAGTTCCCAAAAATTGCAGTTTATTATTAGGTATCAATGAAAAAGTATTTAAAGTTATATCTAGAACCTAATTCAGCTTTGCACGGTTGTGAAACTACCATTTTGACTCCAGCAGGCAACTCACGAAGGGAAAAAAGTGTAGCTGAAACTTTGCCACATGGTTGATAAATACAGTTTTAGCCAAAATATATGGTTTTTATATACTGGAAATTATATTTGATAATGGCACAGCCTATAATCATTTGTGTGTCTGTGTGTCCAACACCTTTCCTTTATTTTTCTGAATAAATTAAATTTGGTATAAACCAATGACTACTTGGTAAATGATAAGTACTATAAAACCTGCAGAATCCCACAAACTAAACTATTAATGATTAACACTTGAAAGCACCATTCCTATCTCGCAGCATGGTCTAGCTGAGTGACAATTTGAGATGACCCATGGTGTAAACTTGGCAAAGAGATACCACTCCCAGTACCTTTCACTGTCTGAGATAAATTTCTCAATGATTTGCTCTTTGGTTAAGATGGATGAAAAAACATTACAAAAAATGGCAACCTAAGGAGGGCCTGACTTGCAGTGGTGCCAGCACGTATTTATCCTGCTGACTTAATTTATTAGTTTAGGTGTTCTGCAGGCAAAAGCTGCTCTCAGTTCACTGTAAGTACATTTGTAAAATAGCTTGACTTTACAACTACAATTTAATAACTCCTGATTTGCAAACCTTGCCCAAGTATTAATACTGACTTAAATTCTAGAGATCACATTTAATGTATGGAAGTACTTAGCAGAATATGATTTTTGTCTCTAATAATCTTCTCACCCTGTAATTATTATTACTGTTAATTTTAGGACAACCAAATGGGTGCTGATTCTGACAACAGAGCTGAGATTCCTGTGCAGTTTGCAACCTGCTCCCCTGATTGGTATGTATAATACATACTCTACAGGATGTCTTCCCGTTTCCTTTGGAAAGCTGCATGGAGCATACTCCATGATTTAACTAGCACACTTCTGGATTCCTATCAGCCTATCCTGAATACTGAAATTCTGTATGCAGAAGACAAGCACATGAAGTTTTTGGCCAGTTAAGCCCTTTACAGTAATGGCATTAAGGGTTCATTAACTGAAAAAAAAAACTCAGAAGTATACATTAATATTCTGTGTATAGCTTAGAAAGAGTGCTGATCACCTATACATTGTCCTGGAGAGGCACACCTCCAGACATACATTGATTATGTGACTTGGACAAAGAGCTGTTAAAGATTTTGAGGCCACAGAAAAACTGTAAGCTATATTTAGACTTGAAGAATTAGTGGGCAAAACTATTTTGTATGAATCACCTCCTTTGTAAAATTAATAGTCATGATGATTACAACCAAATATTACCTTGTGTGAGACCAGAAAGGGGGCAGAATGCAAAATGTGGAAACAAATGTTTAGCTTTCATGATGGCAAAAAGCTTAAGGCTTCAAGGCTGCATAGGAATAGGCTGCTCAGTCATATATTTGCTAGTTATAAAAGGAGGGTTAGAGAGAGCAAAATTTGGCAATGATACAAAGTTATTTTCTCTAATCAAAAGAAGTCTTCAAAGGATTAACTTAGAAGAATGACTGTAAATACGGTTGTTAACAAGTTTGCAATGTAATGCAAGTAATGGATATGGAAGAAATAATTTAAACTACTCACACACCAGGGCTCCAAATTAAGAGTATTTGGCTAAAGAGCAGGGAAATCATTGTACTTACAAGAACGAGCCTTGAAGAGCATGGGTCCATGAGCAACTCCTGTTAGGAAAGGTAAAGAGATGTCAGCAATGAGGAAAATTATCTGTGAATTAATGTCCAGAGTAGGGAAACAGGAACAACCAGAGGGGTGAAAACTCCAATGAGATGACAGATTCAAGTGAGTGGGACCATTTGCCTCAAATGTCAGCACATAAATTGTTACTTGCAAGAATTGGGAATGAGGTTCAATTCGGATTATTAGATTGCCTACTGCAGAACTCTGTCCAGTTCTCTCAGCCTCCAGTAACTTCACCCAGTAACTTCCCATAGCAAACTGTATGAATGCTGTCTAGCTGCTTTAGCATATTTAACAACTGATGAAATGGTGTATAAAAGAAAACATGCCGTCATAACAAAAGAAGCAACTAGGTATCTAGCATTTGTCTGCTTTTCAGAATCTCTATTTCTATGTAAAGTCTGAACATGAAAGGCTGAAAAAAGCAACTTTAAAATGATAGAAAACTGCATCTGACTTTGAAACAAAACCAGGAAATAACATTATACAATCATTTTGCAGCTCAGTATTATTTTGGGATATTCCAGACACCAAACTTTCTGAAAAAAATTTATCTAAGAAAATAACAGATATGAACACGTTTTATAAACCCCAAGGTGGTCCGGATACTTCTAAGCATCTAGATCTCTCCTGGAAACCTCTCATAAAGGTACTGTACATAAATATAGAAGAGAAGCATTAAGCCAAACTGTAGATACAGCCAGAACTCCATAGCAATGTATTCTTCTGCTTCCCAACTCTAGATTTTCCAGCAAATTGTGACTTCCTTGTGAATTTCCTTCTAATCATGAAATGAAAGACTTTAACGTTCCTCTGAAATGTCAATAAAATGCATTTTGAAAAGCTAACTTGCAAGAAAGAGCATGGCTGCCTCTTCAAAACTGCTGCGGCTGCAGAAGTAGTTGTATTAATAGTGTAAGTTCCTGTCGGCCTTTTCAACAGCTGTGCTATCTCAGTGGGTCCCAAGTGTGTCCCAAACTGTGAAACATGGTCATTGTCAACAGAACCATAACTACTTGCAAGCCAGCAGTCAGTCTGATGAAAATGGTCATAACAGTTTGTGAGAAAAGTGAGGCTGAAAATAATCTGTTAGGTTAAATATATATATATTATATAAATATATATATATTGGACCTGCTGATCTGTGCTGCTCAGAATAGCTGTAGCTGATACAGTTGTTGAAGAAGCATAACCACTGGAGCTGGTTGGTTGTTTGTTGTTTTGGTTTTTTTTGCTAGAAACATAGCAAAAAACTTACAGGGAAGGATAACACAAGAGAAACCACAGGTTTGTGTTTTCTTTGTGCTTGCATGTGAGGCAGCAAATACTGTTTGTGGAATATTACAAACACATGGCAACTGAAAAGATCTGTTCCAGCAGCAAGCCATTTAGTCTTGTGCCTCAAAGATCTGACAAAGTGAGCTAGCAAATGCATTTTTTCTGAACAGATAAACCTGTGCAAAAGTGTCATCAACCAAGAGTATGGTTCCACCAGGATTATTTTAAGGGTGCTGCACTGCAATTTCAAAAGCTCAGGTAATATTGTGATTACACCTTATTGGAGAAAATGTTTTTAATAAACTTATATTTCAGCATATACATAATGAAAGCTGAGCAACACGATGTTGTATGGCTAAATGCATCTAGGGAAAAAGGTTTCTGAAATACACTGGTATTCAAACTGCAGTATACGTGTATTAACTACAATGATATATCCTTGTACTGAATACAAGAAGAACAGTTCTGTATCCAAGGTAGCTTGGTCAGGTTTCACTTGCTGATGCAAGTCCCCTACCCAGTCTCTTTATCCCTGAGACATTTTGTCTTTTTCAGCCCTATTCAACACTATTTTTAGAAAAATAATCCCAGAGTGACAGTATATATTGTAGGTATTTCTGCAGTGCTTTGGACAGAGGCATCACTCTTCAGAACTTCACGTTCTATAGTAAATCAGTTCTTATTATGGCACTTTGTGGTAGGAACACATTGCTAATCCCTCTGTAGAGCTGGCAAGCTATCATACAGGTAGCCCAAGAGTCGAACTACCTGAGACAGTGATTGCAAACCATGCCAGAAAAGGCCTTTCTGGCAGCTGCATTGCTGCGGCATAGTTGCACACTGTTCCTCCACAGGCTGCAGGAGGCAGGCTGTGCCATTCCCTGGATCAGAAATGTTAGCTCCTGGCTGCAGCAGCTAAGGGGGGATGCATAAGGGCAGTTCCCATGGAGACACTCATGCTGTGTCAAGCTGATGAAGAACAGAATGATGCTACTCTAAGTAGTTGTCTGTGTATGGGAAGCACTAATTTCAGAGCAGTTGCAGCAATGGGTAACAGGAAAATTAAACTACAGAATTGGTGGTTTACTTGGCAGTCTTTCATCTTTTCTCTTCTTGAAATTCCCCTTAGCAATGAACTACCTTTATAAGACAAAGGATTTTCTTGGTCTAACAAATTCCAGTGTATAATAAATAGATGTATCCATCCTGTTTCCCAGAGAGGGTGTCTGCCAGAGAGATGAGCAGAAGTCTGAAAGGGATAAAGGATATCTCCACTGATTTTTTTGTTGGAACTGAGGTAAGTGAAAATAACAGGTTACTAATGAAAATGTTAATCCAAGATACACAAAGGACTGAGCAATTAAGTAACAGAGCTTTTACAAATGTTTGGACTTGCATGTTTCCTTCAGGTGTTCACTAAAAAGATCTTTCTAGGCATGCCACATTTTACTCCCATTTTCATGCATTTAGCTACATGCTTAAAAAATAATAATAACCCCAATATCTGGTAGACTGTGAACTCTTACTTCAAGGACACAACTAGAAAACCTTTCCAAGACCCAGGGAATTATGGATGACTGAGGGAATTACAGACCAGTCAGTCTCACCTCTGTGCCTGACAAAATCTTGGAGCAGCTTCTCCTGGAAGGCATGCTAAGGCACATGAAAAACAACAAGGAGCTTGGTCACAGACAATCCTGTGAACTGTGGAATCCACAATCACATCACATCGGGGAATCCACAATTTACAATCCTGTGAATAAGGGGAAATCCTGCCTGACCAATTTGGTGGCCTTCTATGATGGGGCTAGGGAGCTGATGGACAGCAGTAAAGCAGCTGACATCATCTACCTGGACTTGTGCAAAGCATTTGACACTGTCCCACATGACATCCTTGTCTCTAAATTGGAGAGACATCAATTTGATAGGTGGACCACTTGGTGGATAAAGAACTGGCTGGATGGCTGCACACAAAGAGTTGTGGTCAATGGCTCAATGTCCAGCTGGGGACCAGTAACGAGTGGTGTCCCTCAGGGATTGGTGTTGGAACCAGTCTTGTTCAACATCTTTGTCACTACATAGACAGTGGGATTGAGTGCACCCTCGGCAAGTTTGACGATGACACCAAGCTGTGTGGTTTGGTTGATACGCTGGAGGGAAGGAATGCCATCCAGAGGGACCTTGACACGCTTGTGAGGTGGGCTGATGCCAACCTCATGAAGTTTAACCATGCCAAGTGCAAGGTCCTACACCTGGGTCGGAGCAATCCCAGGCACAGCTACAGGCTGGGCAGAGAAGAGATTCAGAGCAGCCCTGCGGAGAAGGACTTGGGGGTGCTGGTCAATGAGAAAATGAACATGAGTCGTCAGTGTGCGCTTGCACCCCGGAAAGCCAACCGTATCCTGGGCTGCATCAAAAGGAGCATGAACAGCAGGTCAAAGGAGGTGATCCTGCCCCTCTACTCTGCTCTCGTGAGACCTCACTTGCAGTACTGTGTACAGTTCTGGTGTCCTCAACATAAAAAGGACATGGAACTGTTGGAACAAGTCCAGAGGAGGGCCACGAGGATGATCAGGGGACTGGAGCACCTCCCGTATGAAGATCGGCTGAGAAAGTTGGGGCTGTTCAGCCTGGAGAAGAGAAGGCTGCGTGGAGACCTCATAGCAGCCTTCCAGTATCTGAAGGGGGCCTATAGGGATGCTGGGGAGGGACTCTTCATTAGGGACTGTAGTGATAGGACAAGGGGTAATGGGTTAAAACTTAAACAGGGGAAGTTTAGATTGGATATAAGGAGGAAATTCTTTCCTGTTAGGGTGGTGAGGCACTGGAATGGGTTGCCCAGGGAGGTTGTGAATGCTCCATCCCTGGCAGTGTTCAAGGCCAGGTTGGACGAGGCCTTGGGTGAGCTGGTTTAGCACGAGGTGTCCCTGCCCATGGCAGGGGGCTTGGAGCTAGATGGTACTTTCCAACCCTAACTATTCTATGATTCTGTAAGACATATCAAGCTTAACTACTTGCTATCAGGAACGAAACTGTATTTCAGAACCTGTAAAATCAGTGATTTTTTTGTTTGTTTGTTTCCCCAAATGCCAGAAGCAAACGTTTATACTACAGTTTCCCCCACAACTTATTCTACCTTGGGAAGTCCCAGCTATTCAGAGCCCTCTACCTACCCAATGTACCAAAAATTCCAAATTCTTTCCCACTTTTGAGTTCATATGGAATTGAAAATTTGGCTTTTTGCTTCTGATCACCTTTTACTCAAATACTGGAGCAATGCATGTACCAAGCAGCTAATTCTGCAGCAAGAACTGCCTACATACATCATGGTAATTAAAGCTGTTTTGGCAATAGGTAACTGAAAATTGGTGTCCAAAATTTTCCTGCTTCTTCATTCACTCACTACAAGTCTAAGTTTTATTTGCTCAGAACATATTTAATGATTGTTATAAGTAAGTATAGTCACAGCTTAAAAAACAACTCACTTTGATATAAGCCACTGAAATCCAACATTAGCATTTACTTGATTTTTCTGGCATCACAGGATGGAGAAATTGTTTATTCTGACTGGAAAATTGAAATCAAGAATGACTTCCCAATACCATTTAGTAAGTTCAAGTTTCTCAATATGTGTTTAAGCCTTAATATATTGCCAGCTTTAAAATACTTGCACCTATACTCTGTCATTTTAATGTTCTTGCTCGTCTATTATAATAGTCTGTCTCACTGATGACACCAGGATTTAGAAGTACACCTTGAAAGTGTGAGCAGTTTAGCTGTCATTACAAAATAGCAAAAGCCCTCTCCAGTAGCATAGGTGCGTCGCTATGTACTCATTGGCACAAATCATTCAAGTAACTAGATTTGCAGCAATTACATTTCCTATACCTTGTCAGCAAAAAAAGTGAGGCTAGGATCTTTGAAATGTGTGCTGGATCCTGCACTTGTTTCCCACCATGTAACTCCCATTGTGAACATGATCACTAAAGCACTAGTTACAAGCAACTGCCTTTTTCATTCCACTAGATCAGAAGCACACTCAGAAATATGCTGTCCACACTGAAACTATCAACACTCTGCAGAGATCTCCGTTTTTTAAAGACATCGTTCTAAGCATTGGAGGACGGAAGTTTGCCATTTGGAAAGAAGAGGTTACAGTAAGTTTCCTTTAACATAGCTGAAACATAATTACATGACAGAACCATAATAGCCTCAGAAACTGTATTTTCAGAAATGTTTGTATGTCACAAAGCTTCACAGAATTAAACTGAGTATAAGAAATGCTTTTTTCTTCACATCAGAAAACTACTTTCAAAATAGCATTGTAAGCTTGCCTTTTACAGAAAACAAATGAAGTGACCTTCTTTAATTCCAACCTTGTAAAAACTGTAGCTTCTCAACGAATAATTTCTGCTCCTAGGGAAAGAGAAGAATAAAGGCAATGTGTGCTAAATGAGTTTGAAGAACTCATTTAGGACACAGCCTTTTAACTATGTGAGGGCAAAGCAACATGGAGGTTTTTACAGTTCTCCTCATGTGCTACATGTGGCAAAATCTAAGAGTGGACAGATTATAAAGAAACTACCTGAATAGACTGCAAGTGAGATACAAGGTTTTTTACTTCCCCACAATTGTCTTTATCTGCAGATGGTGATACCAATTTTACCATTGATACAATTTTTGCTATAGGATCATTTAAATTATGAATGTTCTTAAAACAGTAGGAGAGTTAAGGTACTGAATGGATAGTACTGTTTTACTGTCGGGTTTACCTTTTATTTGTTTAAAAAATTCAAGTATGGAGCGATCCTTCAGTCAAGCTGCTCTTCAGGAAGATACACTGCGGGACGATGGTCCTTAACAAGACCAGGAGTTTTCTTCATTGGCAGAGATGATGGAAATGTAGATATTTGGGACTTACTGAAGAAAACTCATGAGCCATCTTATTTCCAGAACATCTCCAAATCAAAGATCACTTTCATCAGCCCCTGGATTGCCTCATGTATGTTGATGGTGATGGCACTTTACTGACCCACCCTGTTTGCATAACGGCCCATGACTCCAAGGCACAGTAATCTTGCTACAGATGATCTTCTATAATAGATAAGTACATACTTCCTCTAACACTGCACTGTATGTACAAAAAGGCCTACATCAGTTCTAAGCATGCTATCACAGCATAAAGCAACAGAAAAAAAAATAAATTAAAAGCATAAACCTTAAAGGGAAATTAATTTGTTAAGAAAATAAGAGAGCAATAAGGCTACCTTTTTGCTGCAGAGAACAATAACCCAAAAAGACCACAACAAGAATGAACCCTGTGTGGCTTGTGTTCGGAGGTATGTGTTACCGTTGGAATTTACATTGCTTATATGTTTTTGTGAATTATCTTTCAGCAAAGCAGCACTTTTTAGCAGTGTCTGATGATCTTGGAGTACTGCATATTTTGGAAATCTGTCAGGCTCTAAGTGACCCCTTGATGAATGAGGTTGGTAAGAATTTTTATTCATCTCTGTGACACTTTATCCTGAAAACTCCACCACAGAAACAAGCCTGCCTGGAGAAACTTCCCTTCAAATGGATGGCAATAACCTGAGATCAGTATCGCCATGTTCTCCAAAGATCACCTGTAGCAAAGCTGGCTTTGCACAGAGCTCACATAGGAAGCACCTAAAGGAAACCTGAGTGGCAACTGGTAGAACTCCACTGCTCCAACCTGTCTACATGGAAATACAGTAAAGAGCTCAGCATTTTTTGCCACATGCATAAAATGACACCTAGCTTCATGCATTAAAACAATGCTATATAGGGCACACTTATGTAAATATACTTTTTTATTTTACACCTTCTTGTCCACATTTGTATCTTTCTTTTTTTCCTATAAATTTGGTACTTCGATTACATGTCTGAGCATCTGGTTCTAGCTTAGTTAAAGCACATTTAGCCAACTGTTACTAACATCACCTAACATTCATTCTGTTTTGTAATAAGGACTACCTGTACCAGAGGACCATGGGAACAAAGAAAACAATATTAATTTCTTTTTATTTCCACATAATTTTCAGGTTTTCCTCCTGACCCCCCATCTCCCAGCCAAAGATCAAGCTACTGTTTTAATCTCATCCAGTCTATCAGTCTTGCGTCCTAGCTAGTCTGTTGTTTTTACATCACAAGATCTTCTTCCCATCCTAACCCAGTTTTAAGTTATGTATGCACTTACATAAATGTCCCATAAAGGTTTGCTGTTTGCAGAGCCACAGTATGTAGCAATATAGCACCAGGTCAGCAGCCTCATTTTAGTAAAAGTAACTTCTCCAAAGCAAGGTAGGACCTAACCAAGTGCTATAATGTGAGGAAACACATTGCTTCTGCCCAACTTACGTGTGTTTTAGAGCTACACTATTTAAGGCACAGAATTATTAACCCAGGAGCAGTCACTGATATTTAGATTATATTGTTTTAGTTATTTCAGTGCAGGCTCCTGAAGCCTGATCTATTTAGAATCAGTGTAATAAAAATTATTTAACTCCATGCATATATATATCAAAATCAATTGTTTTCAATGGACATCTTTATATTGCTTTGCTGCAAATTATTTGGATAAACAGATATCTATATTCCCAATATAGATAACCTAATACAGTTCAGATCATCAGCAATAGTTCTGTGTCTTTGGGTATGTAATGACCCTTGTTTGTAATCTTTTACTAGCATGACAGCGTACTTGATTACTTTGAAAGAGAAGTCAAATATCTGAAGTACTGTGAACAAGAGTTTCGAGAGTATCAAGACCTTCAAGCCAAAACAGAACAGAAATCCATCTGGAAGCACAAAGGAAGAAAACAGTACGTTATACTTGGAACTAAGAGAACTTTGTTTCTTTGGGTCTTTAAAATACGCACCTGTTTCACCAGGCAAGATTTCCCATAGTATTTTCAAAAATCAGAATGGACATAATCAAAATAGCTTAGCAGCTCCTTATTTCATATTTGCAAATCTAAGGCGTGGAATAGATGGTCCTAGTTCATGTGAGCTCAGCTCCTGGTCAAGTGAAACTCCTACAAGAGAATTAGAGCCCACAGATATTTAACAACTATGAATTTGCTTTTCTTTTTACATCAGTTATTATATCTAAAAGTTAATAGTCTGGCAACTTCTCTATAAGCCTTGCTTCTTCAAGCCTTCCATTCTTTATTCACTCAAGGGTTTTGCCTATCCATTCTTTGGTAAATGGTGTAATAATCCAAATAATCCATCAAGGAAATGACAATTCAGCTAATGCAGCCCTAGGTGACATCTATTTTCATTAACTTGTGTTAGCACTGATACTATCCACTGGAAAGCAGTGTGGTTGCTTACAAGGTTCAAAGCTTATTGCCTGGTATGTGTTTTTCTTTCAGAGTATGACTACATAAAACAGAAGAGATGAAGGAACAAGAAAATGCAGACTGTATGTGTTTCTGGACTTGAAGCAGATACTAATGGATTTAGGACTAGAAAAGGGGCAAGAAATACTTTCATCATCAGATGCTTAGAGACCATTTGGAATCAGCCAGCTTTTTATTTCATGACCTCTTTATTGCACCAAAACGTGTTCAGCTTCAGAAATAAAGCATTTTGCAGTTATACTAATGATGTGGTTACAGAACAACTATTCTTGGCACACTTGTTCCACTGTCATTAATACTGTTATAATGAATGTTCTGTTTAAATAATAGTTTTCAAAGTTCTGGGTCTGTCAGGACTCTAATAAGCCATAAAAATCTTAAATACAACTCAGCTGTTGTATTTAACATTACCACATGCCATATCCATCCCCCCAGTCTACATCCACCTCCACCTGCTCCCACCAGAAGGGAAAACATTTTCTACTGCAGAAGCTACATTCACATACACCACCAAAATTCCGCTACTCGGCTCCTGCAAGTTCCTCCTTCCTCCTCCCCGAAGTATTCACTCCTTTTGAACACTTGGGGGCTTTAGGGTTTTGTTGGGGTTTGTTCGGGTTTGAGGGGTTTTGAGTATGTCCAGGACATTTTCTGCTCTGGAGCAAAAGCACTCTAGAGCAAAGAGCGCTTACCTGCGGCTTCTGCAGCCCATGTCCCTGAGCTGTCGTTGCAGCGGGAGGGAGAGGCACACACATACCCAGATGACCACAGGATCACACAGAATCGCTTCTCCCCAGCCCGCGCCCCCACCCCCTGCGCATCAGCCCAGCCCACCTCCCGAGTCAGAGCACGCACGAAGGCCCTGAGGGGCTGATCGTGCTCAGTTGCTGCCGGGATTCTCCCAGTGAGAGACTGAACGTGTATTTTTCAGGGCATCTGGTAACCCTCTGAGGAGGGCTCCGAGGTGGCCGGGATCTCCTGGAGCGGCCATCGGTACTCCCTGCAGCCGCCTCTCATACACTGTTGGGGTGCAAGCAGCAGTTTGTACCCTCTCCGGTATCTCCGACACTCCTTTCACTGCAACACTGACCACTGCTTCTCACTCCTGGGCTCTACTCCCAGCCCGAGAAGCCACTCAGAAGGTTATTAAGCCATCGCCCACCACCCGTTGCTCAAAACAACTTCTGGACCCCAAAACCCGCTCACTTCTCCGCCACTGAGCAGTACCCGACCTCCCCCGTCACAGGCTCCCCACAGATGCCCCATTCCCATTTCACCCGGCTTACGCAAAAACTCAGTGTGCAATTCCCTGAGCTCAGGCCTGAGCAGGAGCCTGCGGGCCGTGGTTCGAGGGTTCCCGTGCGCGCTTTGCCTTTCGGTGTTAACGAGAGGTCACAAGCCCCTTTCCTCCAGCAAAGCCACTTCTTCAGCAGCGCTCTCATCACCATCTCTGCAGGTACCCCTGTCCCAGTCCTCCGGGATTGTGCCCGCAACCAGCTTCCGAATTCGGACAGTGCTGTGGTGGATGCCAGCATAATTGCAATTCTTAGCTCGAGTAACCGCGTTCGCTCTCTTCCCAGTTCCCCTTTCAAACAGCCCGCTCCAGCTGCTGCTCCAAACCTTCCCTTGCAAACAGACCTGTGCCTGTGCCCAGCACCTTCCCGAGGTGGCGCCCGCGCTCCCTTTACCACAGCCACCACAGCCACCGCTCGAGTTGCAGGATCACCCGTGGGCCCCACTGCTTCACCTTCACCCCGTAGGGAAGGGGCGCATCCCTGCCTCCGTGACAATTCCTGTGTGCATACCCTGCCAACTATGCCAAGTTAAATGTCATGGAGCCAACAAATTGAGGCTAAATGAAATTTATTGTTCAAACTCAGTTAACGCTCCATCAATATCAGCTACAGGTTTGGGACACCATATGGATTCGTCACTACACTGTTGAATCCCAGGCTTTCTGACCAGTGATCCACATTTGACAATGCACAATCACTCACCCAAAAGGGAGGGCTCTCAACCTCAAATGTTACCTTAGAAAACGTCCCAACCCAAGGTGAGAGTCCCCAGCTACAGACCTGCTGCTCTGAGGAGGACTGACTCCAAATGGCTGCCCAGTGGGGCTCCTTTTATACCCTGACCTAACCTGAGCTGTGCTCAGACACGGTCATGTAAACCCCCATGGGCTCAGGACCCAACTTCCTGCCCTTGCACCTTCCAACCAACACCAGGTGTACAGGGCAAGAGCTGCGCATGTGGGGAGCTTTCCTGGGCTCTGCGCTGGAAAGACTTTGAGGGCTGTGGTCAGGGCTTTGTCAGTGTGGGAGCAGCTGCCATGAGACTCCATAGACAACAAATTCAGCTACAGAAGATTTCATTTCATGACGGGCACTGGAAGCCTGTCCCATCATTTCAGGTTCAGTATTACCCCATTCAGGAGTAGCAGCAAAACGCCTGAATTTTACCATGAAGCTTAGGTTCTATGGCTCACTGATGAATAACTTAAAGCAACAAAACCAATTTCCTCAGAGTTGATCTGTAAAGAGAACAATATCAATACATGGCTGGGTTTGGGGGGTCGGTTTTGGGTTTGTTTTTCACTGTATTCAGAAGGTACAAGTCACTCAGAATAATTAACAGCGTGTTGAAACTTGAATTGTCTCTTCTGAGAAAATTTGTTTTCTCACTCAGGGATCATAGCAGTGTCAGCAAGACAGAGGCCTTCTTACGAAGAACACCTTAACCTTTCTGACAAGTCATTGCTGCAGCAACCAGCAGTACTTTTTTGGAGTGTTTCTGACCCTATCCAGCCTCAGGTATTTCATCAGCACTTTTCCATAGGTCAGGTGTTGAAACAACAAGAGAACAAGCAATCTGAGTCATTTGTATTTCTCAACTATTTCGGTTTTCCTTCTAGCTACTGTTGGAGTGTCCTGAAGACATCTACTGCTTTCAGTTCAGTCCAAGCAACCCAAATATCATTGTGGGTGGCTGCATCAACGGACAGGTCGGTGTTCATTCTCTGCTTTTGAATAAAACTGGCTATTCCTGTGTATTTCCTTACATTATTAAAATAAGGGTGAAGAGCTGTACTCAGCATCCCTAGTAACAGTGACACAGTCTCAGGAATTCTCTGATCCTGCACTGAAGTTATGCCTGGATACTCCATAGCTGAGCCATTACTGTACAGTCATTCTTTGTAGTACTGGAACATAGGTCAAGCTGTAGAGACTCTCTTTTTTGTAGATTTTGAGATAAGTTTAGCCTTTTACTGATAGCATCAGGCTGAAGATGCAACACTTTAAGGATTTTGATACTTTAAAGGCTTCCCAAGTTCTAGTGTAGAGTGAATTTCTTATTTTTCCCAATCCTCCATGAACTGTGTACCCCGACTCAAACCAGTAGATAATCCCTGCAGTGAGAGACTAGAAAGGATAAGAAACCTGATGAGTTTCTAAAATAAACTCATTATCATACTATAATTTCTACCTCATTAGTCCATCTTAATAGCTTTACTGCATTTTCTGCGGACTGAAAAAACCCTATGGTGCCATGAGCATAAAACCACTCCAGGTCCCAGCAGGGCTTTTCAGTTAACACAAACCACCATCACTTCTCCTTTCCACCCACAGTAACTCTTTGAGGAACAGAGCAGCACTTCCCCAGGTAGTGCTGCTGGTACAAGAGTGCGGGTACTGCTGTGAGCAGGGCTGGGTAGAGAAACCCCAACCACCACTGGAGCAGACAGCCCATGGGAGCAGAAAGCAGGGCATACACATCAGGGAGAAAGGCTTTCTCTTGTTTCATCTTCTTTGCAGCAGTTTAATCCAGCAGTTACTGGAGAAAAAGAAATCTGCAACAAAATACTGCAAATGATTTAATTTATTCTACTGTCTTTTGATCTGTATTTTACATCGTTGCAGCGTGGCCTATTTTTAATGGGCTTTTCTAGCTGGAATTGTGACTTAACCAAGCAACACACCCCAAAACACGTCTTTCAGCCCTGCTGACGACACCTGTCTTATCGGCACACACACTAGGGTGACCCAGGGCTGCCTGTGTGCTTGCTGGAGCTGTGGCCACAGAACCCTTCTCTGTAGTGCCCTGGTGATGCAGCTCTAGCCCAGAGCAATTCATGGAGGCTGTTTGCAGACCTGGAGGAGGTTTTGCAATAGAGAGCTGGCTACTGGGGTGAATAAATAAAAGGAACAGCCTGAAGGAGGGTGGGGGGAACACGTCTGGGGGAAACTGACAATGCCACTTTGCCCAAGAGGTGTTTGGTGTCATGCCTGCTCAACTTGATAGCTGACAGAGCTGGGCTTGTTCAGCCTGGAGAAGAGAAGGCTCCAGGGAGACCTTAGAGCAGCTTCCAGCGCCTAAAGAGACTGACAAGAAATCTGAAGAGGGGCTTTTTACTTGGGCCTGTAGTGACAGGACAAGGGGGAATGGCTCTGAGCTGACAGAGGGGAGATGTAGTTTAGATACTAGAAAGAAATTCTTCCCTGTGAGGGTGCTGAGGCCCTGGCACAGGTTGCCCCGAGAAGCTGTGGCTGCTCCATCCCTGGCAGTGTTCAAGGCCAGGTTGGACGGGGCTTGGAGCAACCTGGTCTCGTGGAAGGTGTCCCTGCCCATGGCAGGGGGTTGGAACTGGATGAGCTTTAAGGTCCCTTCCAACCCAAGCCATTTGATTCTCTGATTCTGACTCTTGCCAACATCAGCTGATGGTTTCTGCTGAAGACTTGGAGAATGCTCAGCATGGCCTCAGGCTCCATCACCAGACATGGCCGCACACCCTTCGGGTACCCTTTGGGCATCTGTAGCAGGAACAGTAGCTCTCCCTGCACCCCCTGGATCCTCCATCCATCACATCTCCATCTCACCCACCTCGAAGGGGTTACTGCCTGCAATCCTGACAACTCACTTGGATTCACCATTCCTGAGCCCTTCCTCCTCCTAATCCTCAGCCATCAGCAAGAGCTGGACACCCCGCACCGAGTTTTCACCATTTTCAGCAGCTTTTGCTTGAGTGTGAGGAAGATGATGGCAAAGGCCACCAGGAGCGTCAGGCAGGTGGGCAGGGTCAGCACCAGGTAGAGCAGGGCCAGATTGGCTGTCTGCCAGCGGCAGCTCCGCAGGACGGGCTCGGGCAGTGCCCTGGGGCTCAGCGTGCGGGAGGCATAGCTGCAGGTCACCTCTTGCCCGTCGGGGACACACAGGCCCTCGACCCGCTGCAGGGAGTCC